ATGAGAGATGTCTCAAAGAACAACATTTACAAGCATTATTGGGAGAAGATGCATGTCAAACTCAAAAACAACTTGCAGAAAGATTAAATATTGCTCAGCAAACAATTTCCGATCGTTTACAAGCAATGGGAAAGATTTTAAAGGAAGAAAAGGGGTGCCATGTCAACTGAACAAAAGACAAATGGAAAACTGAAAAGTCCTCAGTAAAATGTTGCTTCAACCGCAAGAAAGAAAGTCTTTTTTGCATCGAATTGTGACTGGCGATGAAAAGTGTGTTTATTCTGAGAATCCCAAACGCACAAAATCATGGGTTGATCCAGGTCAACCATCAACATCAACTGCAAGGCTAAATCGCCTCGGAAAGAAGACAGTGCTCTGCCCTAGCTGCTTTGGCTCAATGATAGAACGTCAGCCTATGGACTGAGGGGTCCCCGGTTCGATTCCAGCCAAGGGCACATGCCTGGGTTGTGGGCTTGATCCCCAGCGGGGGGTGTGCAGGAGGCAGCCCATCCATAATTCTCTCTCATCATTGATGTTTCTCTCTCCCCCTCTCCTTTCCTCTCTGAAATCAATAGAATAGATTAAAAAAAAAAAAGAGGAAGCCACTGCTCTGCGTTTGGTGGGATCAGGAAGGTGTGGTGTATTATGAGCTTCTAACACCAGGTGAGACCGTTAATCCTGATCGCTACCGACAACAAATAATGTGAACCACGCCTTGATCGTAAAACGACCAGAATGGGCCAGAAGACACAGCAAAGTAATGTTGCTTCATGATGACGCACCATCACACACTTCAAACCCAGTTAAGGACATGTTAAAAGATCTTGCCTGGGAGGTATGAACGCACCGCCGTGTTCACCAGACCTTGCTCCCTCAGATTCCCACTTGTTCCCATCGATGGCACACACACTTTCTGAGCAGCACTTCAAAGGGTACGAAGAAGTGGAAGATTGGGTCCCTGAGTGGTTTACCTCCAAACAATAAAAGTTCTATTGGGACAGTCTCCACAAATTACCTGGAAGATGGGGGAATGTGTAGCTAGCAATGGACATTACTTTGACTAAGGCACTTTTGATGTTTCTCTTGAAATTATCGTGTTTTCTTTGATTACAAAATCCGCGTTGTTAACCGGTGCACCTACTACAACCTTGATCTATTCATTCATAGGTGAGTAGACACCAGGGTTGTCTCCACATTTTGTTGTTCTGAGTAACATGCTGAGAACATCCGCACCCAAGTTTTCCATGGACATGCGTTCCCTTTCCTCTTGGGGACGCACATGGAGGTGGTTTCTGAGTCACGTGATGATTCACCTAAAGAACTGGCTGCTCTGCACCCACAGC